TGAACTGCATGGTGAGACCCTGTCTCAAAAAGACAAAAAAAAAAAAATTTTTTTTTGTGACTTTCTTGATCACATCGATAAGCTCCCGTGTTTCCTGACCTAGTGTCACCAATCCATAGTGGAGAGACAGGCTCTCAGAGCTGTGCCATAGGTTAGAAAACTTCATGGCACCTGGCCAGTCTTGTTGAGGTTGCCATAGCTGAACATACTGACTGACATGTGCTGCTGGCTTCTGCAAGACTATCCTGAAAAGTATTGCTCCTTCCTGCTGGTCGGCAGCTCAGATCTATAGTTGTCAACATCTTTGAGTACTTTTCAGATCAAGAAGTGAATTAATTATTGAGCTGGGGAGATGGGGACAATCTTCCCAAGCATGTGTCTGTCATTACTGGTCTGAGAACCACTAGCATCTGTTTACATTCCTATGATGTTTCTCCTACACTGGGTGCTGAGAATGATTCCTCTTTTTCAAAAAGTCTTAATGATGATCACACAGTGGACAGGTAATTGATGCAAAGAAAAACATTTGGGTTCTGCTCATATGCATAGAAGAAATTCCTTTGAAAGGGAGCATCTTTTTGTTGTCATTGTTTGGTGTTCAGGTAAAAGGAAAATGGAAAAAGACCAAAAAAAAAAGGGTGGGGGTGGGGGTGTAACTAAGCGGCATAGGTGCTTGCCTGCTGAGGTTGTGAGTTTGATTCCCCGTACCAAAAAAAAAAAAAAAAAAAGATGGGGGATATACCTCAGGGGCATAGCGCCTTCCTGGTGAGCTCGAGGTCATGAGTTGGTTTCTTGGTACAAAAAAAAAAAAAAGGAAAAAATAGCAGTACACACACAAAAAAAGTAAAAAGGAGCATGTTCCCACTGTAGAAATTCTAGAAAAGCACCATGATTTCATCCTGAGATAACCAGTAATTGAGGGTTTGGCCTTCCAGCATGATTGTATATTTATATATTTTTTAAACTGAGATTACCCTAACAGACTTTTTACCTTATTTTTCTCTCCCATGAGAAGCATTTCCCATTGAATCTTTTTTAAAATGTAATTTTTTTTAAAATGGCTGCATTGTTTTGGTCATATGAATAGTTTACACAGTGCTTTTTTTTTGTTAGGAAGTAAGATTTGTTGCAATAAATAGCTTTGCACCCAAGTATTCGGTCACATTCCGAAGCCTTCTTTGTCCTGTCTCTTCCCTCCTATGGTATGTAGGGGTGTCTGGGGGTGGGGAGGTTCCCTATGTGACTCTGCAAGCCTTCCACAGACAGTCATCACCACCATGACCACCTTGAAGAAGAACCTGGCTGATGAAGATGCTATTTCCTGTCTTGTGTTGGGCACTGAGAATAAGGGGCTCCTGATTATCGACCCTGAGGCCTTCACTGTTTTGGCTGAGGTCAGTGTTGGCTCCAGCCCTGGGCATGCCCAGATCCCAGGCTGCATTCCCTTCCCGTGTTCCTAGTATGTTCTGGGCAGTACACATACATGGTAGAAAAATTAGAAACTAGCTAAGCATAAAGAAAAAGGTACACATCCAAAAATCCCACTACTGTTAAGGCATATGTCCTTCTGGATGTTTTTTTGTATATGAACATAGTCGTATAACTATATAAATTACATATACATACTGTATATGTAACAACAGGGTCATGGTACAGACTCATGTAACTTGCTGTTTTCACATTGCCCTGTATCAGTGTCTTTCCATGTCTGTAAAAACACATCAACCTTTTTAAAGGCTATTATAGATCCAGTATATAGATGAACCATAACTTATATTCCCTCTGACCTACTGTACATTCAGACTGCTTTTAGTTTGTCAGTCTTATTAACAGCACTGCAGTAGATTTTCTTGACCAAATGTCTTGTTCATGCGTGTTTAAATACTTCCTTACAGTGTGGTCCTGGAGGCAGCAGTTTAGCAAAAGGATAAGACAAAAATGCTTTTGCTGCATAATACTGAGCTTCCCTCCATGAAATTGTATGAGTTTACCCTGTGACCAACAGGGTGAGAGTGAGGAGATCAAGACTTCAGACAAGGAAATAACTTGGAGGAATTACTTAAGGGAGGGAGACAGGATATTTGAGCCTTTCCTCTGCAGATGGACATTCCCAGTGTCCCTGTCTTCCTGGAGGCTTCTGGCCAGTTCGATGTGGAGTTCCAGCTTGCAGCTGCTTGCCGCAATGGGAACGTCTATATTTTGAAAAGGTAACCATGGCTGTGGTCTCTGGGCCAGAAGAAACATCTCAGAAAGCCGGTGGTTTCAGAGGCTTGCAAACCAGGCACGGGACTCTGGGGCTGGAATTTAGGAATGGAAAGAGCTGAGAATTTCATAAAGTAGGCTGAGTCCATGAGCATAGAGGGAAAGTTGGGAGGCTTGTGAAATGGGGGCTGGCTATAAGATATGTGGTCAGAAGTTGGAGGAAATAGAAATAGTCTCTCGTATTTGTTACATAATTTTATAGTATGTGGCACTTGCTTATGCAGTAATTTCATACAATATTTTTTGTGGCGCTGGTAATTGAACCTCATATAATTTTTTTTTTTTTTTTTTTTTTTTTTTTGGTTTTTCTCCGGTACTGGGAACTGAACTCATGACCTTGCGCTTGCCAGGCAGGCGCTTTTGCCGCTGAGCTAAATCCCCAGCCCCTAATATAATATTTTTTTTGAGGATCTTACCATGAAGTTCATTCTGGCCTTGAACTCACCATGTAGCCCAGGCTGGCCTCAAACTTGCAGTGATCTTCCTGCCTCAGCCTCCTGGAGTGCTAGGATTATAGGCATGCACCACCATGCTGGCCATACATTTTTAATTCAAGAAATATTTATTAAAGCCAGGTATGCTGGCATATACCGTATTCTCAAGTTTTGAGAGGTTGAGGCAAGAAGATTGTGAGTTCAAGGCCAGCTTGGACTATATAGCAAGACCCTGTCTTAGAAAAATAAACCAAAAAAAATTTATTGAGCACCTGCTATACATTAAGCACTGAGCAAGTTATTGAGGCTATGTTGATGCACAAAATATTATAGATATGGTCTCTGCTCTCAATGATGAAGACAGACTTTTTTGGAGAGGTGCTGGGAATGGAACCCAGGGTCTTGCACATGCTAGGCAAGCACTCTACTACTGAACTACACCCCCAGCCCCAGAAGAAACGTATTAAGTCAACAAACCAAGGTATTGCAAACTGGTTGAACACTGTGGCTTGAAGAGATCTGGGAGCCATTTGTTCCAAAAGTGGGAGAAGAATGCTGTAGGCAAACTCAAGGTGGGAAAGACCTGAGTGTGTGCAGCCCATGCCTGGCTGGCAGAGAGGAGAAGGGAAGAGATGAAGTGGAGGCCAGGGCTGGCTCCCGCAAAAGCTGGTAGTGCTGACAGACTGGGTCTAAGGAAATGCCCCCCAGCAGGAGATGGAGACCTCAGACAGAATAGGACAGGTTTGCCAGTTTCTATCACAAAAAAGAAAATGGAGGATGCATTGGTGAGAGGCTTAAGAGTTAAGGAGAATTAAAGAAGTACACAGTCAGAAGGGGGTGCAGTTCTGGTACATGCTGATAATCCCTTGCCGGGCGTGGTGACACACACCTGTAATCCCAGCACTCGGGAGGCTGAGGCAGGAGGATCATTGTAAGTTCGAGACCAGCCTGGGCTACAAAGTGAGCTCAAGGCCAACCTGAACTGCACAGTGAGACCCTGTCTCAAAAAGACAGAAAAACCAACAACAACAACAAAAGAATCTCAGCACTCTGGGAGGCTGAGGCAGAAAAATCATGAGTTTGAGCCTCGCTTGGGAAATTTATCGAGCCTTTGTATCAAAATAAAAAATATTTTAAAAGGGCTGGTGATGCAGCTTAGTGTGGAGACCCTGAGTGCTATATGCTCAGTACCACCATAAGGGGGTTAGGGGCTCTGTGGGGGTGATGTACATTATGGTCTGGGACTGGACATAAGTTTATGTGTTCTGGGAGTGAAAATCTATGGAGTCTGTGAATCTGTAGAAAGGTCTGGCTCATTTTGCAAGTGAAAGGTAAGGAAGGGCACATTTTATAGGCTGATTATACATTTAAGACTTTTAGGATTTAAGAGTAGCCTAGAAGGAAAAGAAAATTGTCACTTTGGGTAACTTTGATTGTATCCTGAAACTGTAGCTTTCTTCAAAGTACAATTTTAAAATTACAATTTTCTGCCTGGCATGGTGGTGCACGCCTGTAACCCCAACACTCAGGAGGCTGAGGCAGGAGGATCACTGTAAGTTTGAGCACACCCTGGGCTACAAAGTGAGTTTCAAGGCCAGCCTGAACTGCATAGTGAGACCCTGTCTCAAAAAGAAAAAAAGAATTACAATTTTCTTTGTCTCCTTCCTCTCTGTCCTTATTTCTCCTACCCTACTTCAGTATGACATTGTAGAGATTTTGGATATTAACCATGGTGCAGTAGAAAACCATTATTGTGTTCAAAACACAATCACATGAGTCATTTACTGTTTGTTTACTTGTTTTAGCAGTACAGGAATTGAACCCAGGGACTTCACACTGAGTTTTGGCCCCAGCCCTTTTTTAGAACTTTTAATTTTGAGACAGAGTCTCACTAAGTTGCTAAATTTCCCAAGCTGGGCTCAAACTTTTTGATCCTCCTACCTCAGCCTTCCAAAGTGCTGGGATTACAGGTGTGCATCACCTTGCCTGGGTTTATGTACATTTTTAAAACTCTGGCTGGGTGAGGGGTGGTATGAACCTGTGGTCCCAGTTGCTTGGAAGGCTGAGGCAGGAGAATTGCTTGAGACCTATGAATTTAAGACTACCTTGGACAACATAGATATCCTATCTCCAGATAAAAGAAAAGATTACTCTGCTGGATAGAGACATTGGAATGAGACCCAGAGATAAATGAAGGGTTTCGTAGTCATCAAATGGGCCATGATATTGGCCCAGCCTTGATGAGGTTAGAAGGCAGGAAATACCCCCACTTTCTGGATAAGGGAAACTAAGACTGAGAAGCTAGGAAACTGAAAACTGCATTTACACAGCCATTCTTCATCATTTTCTGAGGGTTTTTTTTGGTACTGGGAATTGAACTCACAACCTCACGCTTGCCAGGTAGGCTGCTGTGCCACTGAGCTGCATCCCTGGCCATCCTTTTCTGGTAAACTAGTAAACTTTTTGTGTCCATTAGCACCAACTAGACTAGTCTAAGATAAGCTCAATGAGAACTGTTAGATGCCAGGTTATCGTATACATCCCCAGAGTAGGGGCAGACGGGGACATGCTTGATACTGTCCAAGGTGACTCATCTGCCAGCTGGTGGAGGTAGAAATGATCCCAGGGTTGTCTGCTTTGGGCCTGGGTTCCTCCATCCAGGTTAGTCTGGGGCTTAGAAGGAGGCACATCAGCTGGGGCAGGGGAAAAGTGTTTTCTGGGGGCACAGTGGGTGTCTTTGTTCCTCAGAGACTCCAAGCACCCTAAGTACAGCATCGAGCTGAGTGCCCAGCCTGTGGGGCTTGTCCGGATACACAAGATCCTGGTGGTGGGCAGCACCCAAGACAGCCTACATGGCTTCACCCACAAGGTGTGGCTTCCCCTGCAACTCCAGCCGCCCCTTTCTCCCATGCTAAGCCCTGAGCCCTTGAAGACCCTGGCTGTTCCCTGCCAGGGCAAGAAGCTGTGGACGGTACAGATGCCCGCAGCCATCCTGACCATGAACCTCCTGGAGCAGCAGTCCCGCGGCCTGCAGGCTGTCATGGTCGCGCTGGCCAATGCAGAGGTTCGCATTTACCGTGACAAGGCCCTGCTCAATGTCATCCGCACCCCGGTGAGTCCCGCCTCCAGCATCCACTGCTGATTCCTCCTTGCCCCGCTCTTACCCTGAGCTGCTTCGCTGCCTCTGCCCACCTCACGTTGATAGGTTGCAAAAATGTCATATATTTACGTCACATCCTGGGGAGGGGGCAGAATAATGACTAAACCCTTGTTTTCAGAGACACAGTCTAAGGTCACAGCCAGCCAGAGACACAACATATTAACACACAAGGCAGACTGAAGCAGAGCAAAGCACTGGGAAAGCACAGAGGGAGCAGAGTGATTGGGAGAAAAAGGGTGAGAGATAAGTAGGGATGGGACTCATGGGACACTTCCAGAGCAAGTGACAGCTCACCTGGCAAATCCGTTTACCAAGAGCATAAATGGAGGATGAACATTCCAGACGGGGAACAGCATGGGCAAAGGCTAAGAAGCATGGAGGTTCTTGATGGAAGAATCCAGGTAGCTTGACGGGTTTGGATCAGAGATTTTCAAACTCTTGTGAGTCATGTCAATTTACTAGATCACAACCAACAACATTTAAAAAAAAATAGGACAGGGCTGGGGATTTAGCTCAGTGGCACAGTGCCTGCTTGGCAAGCACAAGGTCATGAGTTTGATTCCTGGTACCAGAAAAAAACCAACAAGAACAACAAAAAAATAGGACAGACACTGTAAAATCCATCATGTGTGAGTTACATGTGTGTATAACTGTCCTGGGTCACAACCTAAAACCTGAAAGCAACAGGTTGGAGTCTTAGGGTGCTGGGAGGGCAGGTGAGGTTTAGAGAAGTAAAGAGGAGAAAACTGAGAGCTAAGGCAGATGGGCCTTAATGTCCCAACACAAGATGGGGCCCACTGGGGCTCTGTGCCTTTGAAGAGCAGCAGAGGCAGCACTGCAGGGGACAGACGGGAGGAAGACTAGGCTGGATGACTGACGGAGGTGACCCTAAAAGTGAGGGCCAGTGATGTTTCAGCCAGGGCTGTGGCTGTGGCAGGAGGGGAGGTGGGAAGTACAGGAACTGTTGCCATGGCAACATGGCCCCAAGCCTCTCTTCCCAGCTCACCCATTGTACCTCGTAGCTGGGTCTCCATCTTGCTTTCCTCTCTTAAGTATTTTCCCCAGCTGAACTCTTGTCTCCACCTAGGACACTGTGACCAGCCTTTGCTTTGGCCGCTATGGACGGGAGGACAACACCCTCATCATGACTACTCAAGGTGAGGGGACTCAGACCTGGCAAGGACATGGGAGTTGGAGAGAAGGGGACAGACCTGATTCTGAGGAAAGAAGACGAAATGGAAGTGAAGCTCAGGTGGACTCAGGTTGAAAACTAGGACTGTCAACACTTGTCCTGCCTGGGCCTGGGTCAGGACAACTCCTCGGCAGTTTGTTATGGCTGCCGAGGGGCCAGGCGCTGGGCTGGGTAGTGTCTCCCCACTCACCCCAATATCCTCACACCTGCCACAGTGCCAGGAACCTCAAAGCACTCCATCAATAGCTGCTAAATAAATGAATGAACTAACGATAGGAAATGATTGAGACACCCTTCATTCCTTCTAGAAACTGAGCTCCTGACAGGAAGACAGACATGTACAGAAACTGGGGAACAACGAAAGTGTCTTGGTTACTTTTGTCTCGTTGCTGAGACAAAATACCCAACACCCAAAATTAAGGAAGAAAAGGTTTATTTAGCTCACAGTTTGTGGAGATTTCAGTCCATACTTGGCTGGCTCCAAGGCAGAGTGGCACATGGCAGAGGACAACAGTTCATGGCAGCAGAAGACAGCAAAGGCAACAAGAGCAAAAGGGAGGAATGGCGGCAAGCAGCCTCTTTCTCTCCCTTACATGTGTAAACTGTCCGCCCCAGGCAGGTGTAGCATTCATACCCATAATTCCAACACTGGACCATGAATCAGTCAAACTGTAGAAGCTCCCCCATGACTGCATGAGGATTTGGGGGGACATCCAGACACAAACCATGACAGAAAGGGAATGAGGGCTAAAACTAGGGAAGAGAAATCTGTTTGTCCACTTCCCTAGGCGGTGGCCTGATCATCAAGATCCTGAAGCGCACAGCGGTGTTTGTAGAAGGGACAGGTGAGGTGGGTCCCCCACCAGCCCAAGCCATGAAACTCAATGTGCCCAGAAAGACTCGGCTCTATGTGGATCAGACACTGCGAGAGCGGGAGGCTGGCACTGGTGAGACTCAGTTCCTTCTTTTCGTCTTCCTCCTTTGCAAGGTAGATGCTCCCAGGGTGCCCTGGGTAGTAGGTGACCTAGAACTAGAACTAGAAGCTCTTGTGTCTCTAGAAGTCCAGGGACAATGTTGGAGGTACGTTTGCCTTCAGACAGCTGGTGATGGGTGCTATGACTGAGGGCAAGAGCCCTTAGAATTCAGAGAGGCAGCAGTCACTTCTAGATGCAGGGATCCGCTTGAAGAAAGTAGAAAATGGCCAGGATTCTTTCTCCTGTCCTGCTCACTTTTATTTATTCATTCATTCATTCATTCATTCATTCATTCCCTATGATTATGCCAGGTGCCTTGAATTAGGCTACTGTCTACCTTGGGAGCTTAGCCCACCTGGCCAGCCTAATGTTGTGTCAGGTATAGAAGGGGATTCTGCCAAGGGCCACTGGGGCACTCAAGCAGGAGTAAGAAATTTCACTTGGGAAAAAAGACTTCAGAGAGAGGTGACAGTAACTTCCACCAAAAGATGATTACAAGTCTACCAGACAGCAGGAAGGGCTGAAGTAGAGGCACAGGACCCTGATCCAAGCAAACGTCTGCCATGGAGCTGGGGGTACAGTGCCAAGGGGTGAGAAGGTAGGTCAGAGCTCGCTTGCAAAGGGCCTGAAACATAAAGCTAAGTTTTGCCGGGTGTGGTGGTGCACGCCTGTAATCCCAGCACTCAGGAGGCTGAGGTAGGAGGATCGTTGTGAGTTCAAGGCCAGCCTGGGCTACAAAGTGAGCTCAAGGCCAGCCTGAACTGCATAGCGAGACCCTGTCTCAAAAAGACAAAAAACAAAACAAAACATAAAGCTCAGTTCAGACATGTTGTTTCAGGAGTGGGGACCAGACAAAGATTTTAGGGTGAAAAACATGGTAACTCAGCCAGCTCTGTTGTTAAAAGGAATCTTAAGGGCTGGGGATTTAGCTCAGTGGCAAAGCGCCTGCCTGGCAAGCGCAAGGTCGTGAGTTCGGTTCCTGGTACCGGAGAAAAACCAAAAAAAAAAAAAAAAAGGAATCTTAGTCTCAGTTTGAAGGGCAAATAAAATAGGGCAGAGAAAATAGCAGGATTTTATGGCAAAACAATGGATAGTGTCAGAAAAATAAGCTGTGGATGTAGCTCAGTGGCAGAATGTTTGTCCAGCATGTATGAGGCCCTGGATTCAATCCTCAGTACCAAAAAACAAAAAAGTAGAAAGTTCTGTAAGGTGACCAGATGTAAAATAAAAAATCATAAGCTTTTCTATATACAGTACAGATCAAGTTAGCAAATATAATGGAAAAAGGCTCTGTTTACAACAGAGAAATCCCTACAAATAAATGTAACCAGAAAATATGCAAAGTTTGTAAATAAAATTATAAAACTTACCTTGAAGAGCATGAAAGACCACCTGAATGTCTAAAGGGAGAGGCTTATCAAGTCTCATGGTAGGATGACCTAATGTCATAAAGCTATCAATTCTTCCAGAATTAATCTAGGAATGACCAGAGTTATGGAGAAAATCTTGATGGGGTTTTGTAAGGATTTGATCTGTTAATTCTAGAATAAATAGAAGACAGGCATGGGGTGTGCCTTGTAATTGCAGCACTCAGGAGGCTGAGACAGGAGGATTGCAAGTTCTAGCCCAGCCTGGGCAATTCAGTGCCTTAGTGAAACTATGGCTCAAAATAAAAAATAAAGAGCTAGGGATGTAGCTCAGTGCAAAGGCCCTGGGTTCAGTTCTCATCATATACACACACACGCACACACACAGACCAAGTTGCTGGGTCTAGAGGGAAGGAATGATTTTTACACTGGGGACAGGGTGGGTTCTGAAGGCAGACTTGAGGAAAGCGATCCACTCTTGGCAGTAGTTACCCATAAGGGTGACCTGAAGTGATTTGAAGGGCAAAGATGCAAAGACTGAGGCCGGACAGTTAGGCTGTTTTCTGCAGTGTTGCACTTGAGATGCTGATGGACCTCCAGGTGGAGAGGACAAGGTAGTTAGAGGCAACAGGCAGTGTAGGTGCCCGCGAGCTGCTGGGAACACAGCACACCATACTGAGTGTGGCCCAGGGCCTAGCCCTGTGGCTGTGGGAATAATCAGGTCCCTGCCCTCGAGAGTTGGTGCTAGCAGCCTGAGCCGGAGGACCCTTCCCTGCTGCTGCCTGTCCCTCCAGCATCAGCCTTTGTGTCCCCTCCTCAGGCATGCACCAGACCTTCCAGACAGACCTCTACCTGCTACGCGTCCGGGCTGCCCGTGCCTATGTGCAGGCCCTTGAGTCCAGCCTGAGCCCCATGTCAGCCACAGCCCGGGAGCCACTCAAGCTGCATGCTGTGGTGAGTGCCCAAGGGTGAGCTGTCAGGATGAGAGGGCAGAGGATAGGGTGGGCGGGAACCCCCATCACAGTTACACCCCCAGAGTCAGTGTCAAGCCAGCCAAGCTTCGTGCTCCCTTCCCACTCTCATGCAGACCCAGGGAGCGAGTTCCGTGTCCTCCTGTGGTTGCTGCTCTCACCTCACCCTCCCGTGCTGCCCTCTTCTGCAGCTGGCCACAGAGGAGGACTCAGTCTCCAGCTCCCCACTCCGTGCTGTGCCCTGATAGACCCCAGATTTGGCGCAGGGAACAGAGTAGTCATCTCGGAACATTTTTTCCCAGGAGCCAGGAAGGATCCTCATAGCTGTGGTACGGGGTAGAAAACCGTTCACTTTGGTAGCCACAGGCAGCCCAAGGTGTTAGGACTACCAGGTGTAGGAAAGGACCGCCCTGACCCGACCCCAACACCCTGAGGCATGCACAGGCGCAAAGGAGGAGAAGGAGCCCACTCATACCCAGACACGAGTGACCTCAAGGTCCACAGGGCCCCAACCAGCTCTCAGTGGGTTCCTCAGTGTCATCTGATCCACTCGGGGTTTTGACTGGCTTTTTCCTTTAAGAGAGTAGACAGAGAAGAGGAAAGAGTTTAAAAGCAACTCAAGATGTGAGGGAGAAAATGACATCACTGAGGCCACCAGGATGAGAGGGGGAGGGAGAACAGACCTTCGGGAGGGTGTGTGTGTGGGCTCTGCCTCTGACTTGCTGAGTGGTCTCCATCAAGAGCCTTCCTATTTCTGGGCCTCTGCTGACCCCTGTGCACCTTCTGACTCCTGTGCATTTTGAGAGGCAGATGGGCCAAGTGTTGAAGCATTTGGAGGGCATGGATTGAGGACACTCGTGAGGAAGCAGCAGGCAGGGCTCCTCTGTTCAGTGCCCAGGGCCACTAGGTCTCAAGGGCTTTCTCCACTACCGCTCCACAGGTGCAGGGCCTAGGCCCCACCTTTAAGCTCACACTGCACCTGCAGAACACCTCGACTGCCCGGCCTGTGCTGGGGCTGCTGGTCTGCTTCCTGTACGACGAGGCGCTCTATGCCCTACCCCGGGCCTTCTTCAAGGTACTGGACCAGCCTCACTGAGGCATCGGGCAGACAAGCTGGGGTGGGAGAATGAGTAGATGCCCACAGCCCAACCAGGTTGTGATGAGCTTAGCAGCTGGCCAGCAGGCCAACTCTCTAGCCAGAAAGCATGCTAAGCCGGGCAGGTCCTGCATCTGCTGCTGTTTTCCCAGCCTGAGAGGCTCAGGGAGTCAGAGAAGGTACAGGGAAAACAGCAGAGCCTGGTTCTGCCTCCTTCTGTCCAGTTCTCCCAGGAACCAGCAGGCCCCAGAGCTCATCCAGCTTCCTAGCTGTTTCTGCCACAGCTAGTAATGTCCTACCACTGCAAAGAGAATCTCCATGTAGTGAAGGGGCTAGTTCCCCACTAGAGCACCTCTCTGACCCTTTCTTAGTCACTTTCTTGTTGCTGAGATCCAGTAGCCGACACCCACAACTTAAAGCTGGCTCAGTTTGTAGAGGTTTCAGTCCATAGTCATCCGGCTCCAAGGCAGCAAGGCATGGTGGAAGGGCCTGGGCAGCGAGGGTCTGCTCAAGTCACGGTGGACAGGAAGCAGAGAATAAAGGGAGAAGCCGGGGAGGAAGATAAACCCGTCCGGGCCACGCCCTCAGTGACCTGCCTCTTCCAGCCAGACCCCACCTCTCACAGCAGGTCAGCTATAAGTCCAGTCACCTTCCCAAAGGCCCACCTATTAGTCCATGAGGGGGGACATCTAGATACAGACCATAACAAACCCCAATTTGGAAGAGCAGAGACTAAGACTCTGGAACGCAGAATAGAGAGAGCTGTGGCTTTGGTAGGAGTCAAGAGGTCTAGGTGTAACCACAGACAGGCGCTACAGGCCTGGGACGTTCACTCTCCCACCCTGCACCGCTCTTCCTGGAACCAGCTGGTCATCCCTGCCCACCCTGAGGTTAATAGGCATTATCTGGGCACGAGGGCTAATTTTCTTACCTCTTGGTTCCCAAATCTAGGTCCCCTTGCTGGTACCAGGGCTCAGCTACCCTCTGGAGACCGTCGTGCAAAGCCTCAGTAGCAAGGGCACCTCAGACATTATCAGGGTAGGTCGCCTGTTGGTACTTCTTGGAAGACAAGTGGGACCCTGGGGTGGACAGTAAGGGCAAGCGTGGACAAAGGCGTCGGCTTGCGTAGTAGGGGTGGGTGTCTGCACAGTCCAAGCGTCTTTGGCAGGACCCCAGTGGCCTATCATCAGGCCAGTGCAGACAGGTGGCCTGGCTTTGCAGGGAGCAAATGTGAGGGTGCCAAAGTGCTGCATGCCCCCTGCTGCCATGGGTGTCTTCTGCATAGGTGCTGGTTCTCCGAGAAGGCCAGAGTGCGCCCCTGCTGAGTGCCCACATCAGCATGCCAGTGAGTGAGGGGCTGGCGGCCGCCTGAGCCCTGAGCCAGCGTTCAAGGGCCTGTGGAAAGGAGCCTGCAAGGTCCAGCCACGTCCACTGAGCAGGGCAGGTTCCGTGGCCCTGGGCTGCTCCCCACATAGCAGGGCGCCAGGCCCAGCTTCCTGTTCCTCTCCCAAGCAGCCACTTGCTCACCTCCTACACCACTGGTCCTATAACAGCAGGGCACTGAGTACCCAGGAGGCTCAGCACTGCCCCCTCAGGACTCACCAGGCACCATGCCCCGGAGCCCTGTGGCCCACCACTCTCCCCAGCTCTTAGATAAAGCACACTGGATCCCAAGGAAGTGTTCTGAGGTGGTCCGGGTGAGACAAGGAGTGGCCAGCCCTTCTTTCCATGTCCCTTAGACACACTACTCATCTACCGCAGACTAAGACCAGGACAGGCGAGGGCCTGGGGAAATCAGAGGACCTTCCTGAGGCAGACTGAGCCCCTGCCCCCACTGAGGTTCCAGAGGCCCAGCTGCTGTTAGCTTAGCTTACAGGCAAAACATGAGCTCTGCTCTCCCTTCTGTGCTGAGCCAGAGGCTCCTCTTTCCACTCAGCAGCCCAAGGAATGGCCACCTTCCCATGAGGAACCTTCTCAGTCTCAGACTCAGCCACCACCTCAGGCTTCTGAGGCCTCACAAAAGTACTCAAAGGAGGAAGTGGTAGAGGAGGGCAGGGGTTGCCCACGTGGGGAGCCAGTGGCCTCAGCTCCAAAGATCACCCAGGTGTGTTCCTGACCTGATGCTCATGCCCTGAGAGCATCCCTGGAGAGGAAGGCCAAGCCAGACAGCAGGGATGGGACCAGCAGCACCAGGAGAGGTATTTCTGGGTCCCAGAAGGTAGCCCAGGAGACAGAAGCCCCAAAATATCCATCAGGGTGCTCTTTTGTGCCCTGGAGCCCAAATCAGTCCTGCAGGCAAAAAATGCCCTAGATGGCAGTCAGAGTGTGAGGGATTTAGCTGGAAAGACATCCGCCAGGGACCTCGAGTTAAGCTGAAGACTACTGAAAGGTGCATATTTAGAATCAGAGACCTTCGTCCTGGCCCCTGGTGCCTACTGAGTCTCTGGCCACCCTAAGCCACTTGGGAGCCAGAAGCCCTGCTCCCTGGAGACCTACACCTTTCCCAGGATGACCAGGTATGTCTTGGTGTATGGCACACAGCTCAGGCTTGTAGCAAGTGACCACACTGTTCTGGGGTTCGGCCTCCCTTTGTGTAAACTAAGGCAGTTTAGTCAGATGGTTTCTTTTTTTTTTTTTTTATCTTTTTGAGACAGGGTTTGCCTATGCAGTTCAGGCTGGCCTTGAGCTCACTTTGTAGCCCAGGCTGGTCTCGAACTCGCAATGGTCCTCCTGCCTCAGCCTCCCAAGTGCTGGGATTATAGGCATGTGCCACCACGCCCAGCTAGCCAGGTGGTTTCTAAACTGCTTTCAGCTCTAATACCTTATGAGCTCAGCAGCCCCTCTGGAGAAATGAGGAATTAGCCCAGAAAAGTGACACTTAGCAAGAATAAATACATTTTTGCCCTCAAGAAGGGTTCCAAGCTAGTCAGTACTGCCCAGTAACAGCCACTATGCCCAAGACACAGGGATCAGGAGGACACAGCCCACCCCTTGACCCTCCCAAGGAAGGCATCCAGAGCTAAGTTAAGAGAGACAAGGGAATGCCAGGCATGATAGCACGTGCCTCTAGTCCCAGCTACTTGGGAGGCTGAATCACTTGAGTCCAGGAGTTCAAGAATAGCCTGACAACTTAGCAAGACCCCCCAACTCTAAAAACTGCCAGGCATGGTGGTGCACACCTGTCATCCAGCTACGGGGGAAGCTGAGGCAAGAGGATCATAAGTTCAAACATAAGTTCAAGGTCAGCCTGGGCAACTCAGTGAGTTCATGTCTCAATGTAAAAATTTTCAAAAGGGAGCTGGGGATGTAACCCAATGTTAGGGTCCCTGAGTACCATTCAAGAGGCTCTGGGGGCTGGGGATTTAGCTCAGCGGCAAAGCGCCTGCCTCGCAAGCGCAAGGTTGTGAGTTCGGTTCCCGGTACTGGAGAAAAACCAAAAAAAAAAAAAAAAAAAAAAAAGAGGCTCTGGATTCAGTCCCCACCACTGCAAACAAACAGAGCAATGGATCTAGACCAAAGAAAGCTGTGCTCTTCTCCCTACACTGCCCAGCCACTCACAGACACAGGCCACCTAGGTGGGTGGCAGAGTGTGCAGCTGGAACAAGCAGGAGGTAGAACCTGGAAATGGAAAGGTGTGGAGTGCAAGGAGGGGAGAAGCATCACTGTCAGAGAGGTCTCAACTTAACGTGCAGAACTTACCTTGTCGCTGGAACTGGTGGTGGCGGCGGCGGCAGGTTGGGGGACAGCTGACCTTACATTCCGTTTCACCCCAGTCAAACTGTGAACTGCATGAACTCAACAAAAAGATCTGATCAGGGAGTTCTTTCTGGCTATGCATGGTGATGGAAGGGGAGGCCTACCCAGCACCTGATGGGAATTTATATAATGTAACACCTACTCATACATGAATTGCACTTCGTGGACAAGTGTTTATAAAGCAACATAAGCTTGAAACAATGCAGGGTACCCAGTGAGAGTGCCAGGAAATTGTGTACATTAAAATGAGAAGAGTTGGTGTGGTACTTTGGGTTTTGTTTTGTTTTTTAGTAATTTTAAAACAAGCACCTACTTGGTAAGATGGAATTAGATAGGACTAGTAGGATTAGTCCTCAGGCAACTAACAAACACATTTCCTCTCTGGAAATGTTAATTTATTTTTAACTGAACCTCAAAAACAAAAACAAAAAAAAACAAAAAAAAAAGATTTTTAAAGAAAATTTATTTGAGGGGCTGGGGATTCAGCTCAGCGGCAAAGCGCCTGCCTGGCAAGCGCAAGGTCGTGAGTTCG